AACCGTCATGCCAAGACCCTAAAGGTCTTCAATCAAATTCAAAGTTGATCCCTGCTAATAGCTTTTACCATTGGTCCTACAAAATTCTAGTTCTTAACAGGCATGATGACATTCATGGTAGTCCAAATTATTTGGGGGGTTGAGGCAGGAAGATTGCCTAAGCCTAAGAGTGTGTGATCAGCATTAGCTAAATAGTAAGACATATCTCTTAAAATATAAACAAACAAACAAACAAACAAACAATTTAAACCAAACTCCTTCAAAGGCATTTGTAATGCAAACGGACAGAAACTCCCTAGTGCTAGGCTCTTGGTGCCATCTAGTGGCAATAGCTGGTAATTGCAATGTCTTCACCCACGGTGCAGATTTCTCTTGTCTCTAAGAAATAAATAGTTCTTCTTTCCTTTTATCTTGGCATCTTATGCCCAAGCAATGATAAAGCCCTCTTGAGAAGAAATCGGTATTCATTCAAGACAGAAGAGTAAGTTGTCTTGGGATATAATCTCAAAGAAATTGTGGGCCAGGCCTTGATGGAGTGTTTGAGGGGGAGAGAAGTAAGCTATGCATAGGAGAACTTTGAGCTCTGTACATCTTGACTTTTGGATCTTCTCAGGGTACCAGGACATTCTCACTAAGCTTTAAACTTGGTACTCTCCTGTCAGTGTTAACAGGGCATCAGTGATGGTTCAGGTCCTGTTCTAGGTGCTGGGATCAAGATGAATCAGTTATTGACTTGCTAAAAACATGCGTATTATATGTTAATTATTGCAGTGAGAATATTCCAAAGAGGCATAGTGTAGGTGGATTCTGTGTGAGGCTGGCCTGGTCCAGGCTGGCAAACTTGCAAACAAGCCTGGCTTAGCCTATGTGTCCAGGTACATGGAAGCAGGCACGAGGTAGGTCCATGAGGTTTTTCTTCAGCTACTGCAGGATGGAAAAATTCAAGGCCACAGCTCAGCATTTTTATTAGTTCTGTCCTGGAAAAGAGACTTCAGGAATGTGAGATCTGATCTCTAGGAGACAGTTGAGTAGTTAGAGGATCTGAGGTCTAACATCTAACACAATCTGAAGTAATGCATATATAGAATATGAGTTAATTGTTACTTACTACACACATGTGTCATAACCCATAAATATACACAGCCATTATGACTGTATATGTAGGAAAAACTTTAAATATTAAATTACAAAATTATCTTCTTCATTATAAGAATTCACATAATTAAGTCCTTAGTAGATAAAAATATAAGGACTTATCTGACTAAGTCCCACTGTAAGTTTTTTTATTTGTTTGTTTGTTTTGAGACAGGGTTTCTCTGTGTAGCTCTGGCTGTCTGGGAACTCACTCTGTAGACCAGGCTGGCCTTGAACTCAGAGATCCGCCTGCCTCTGTCTCCTGAGTGCTGGATTAAAGGTGAGCAACCCCTCTGCCCCCAGCTTGTAACTTTATTTTTTTTTATTTTTTTTTATTTTTGAGACAAAGTCTTTCTACCTAGCCCTGGCTGTCCCAGAATTCACTATGTAGACCAGGCTGGACTCAGACTCACAGAAATACACTGGCCTCTATCTCCTGAGTGCCAGGATTCAAGGCATGTGCCACCACACTTAGTGTAAACTTTTTTTTTTTTTTTAACATTATCAGGAACGAAAAGTGCCTTGCATAGCACAGTTCATTTGCATCTTAACATCTCTTTATGCACAGTTGTGCATGTTGAATGAGAATGGCCCCATTCATATATTTGAATGCTTGGTCTCCAGTTCAAATCATTTGGGAACGATTTGGGGTTTTGGCCTTGTTAGAGTAGGTGTGTCACTGTGGGGGTGGGCTTTGAGGTTTCCAAAGCCTAAGCCTTCCCATTTAGCTCTGTCTCCCGCTTGAGGATCAGTAGAGTGGTTTAAATATGTTTGCTCAAGAGATGGCACTATCAGGAGGTGTGGCCTTGTTGGAGGAAGTGTGTCACTGTGGGGGTGGGCTTTGAGACTCTTTTCCTAGCTCCCTGTGAGACAGTCTGCTCCTGGCTTCCTTTGGGTGAAGATGGAGAACTCTCAGCTGCTCCAGCACCATGTCGGTGTGGATGCTGCCATGCTTCCTGCCATGATGATAGTGGACTGAATCTCAGAACCTGTAAGCCGGCCCCCATTCAACGTTGTCCTTTATAAGAGTTGCCGTGGTCATGCTGTGTGAGCATGCTAATGTCTCTGCCACCATGTCTTTGCTCTGTCATCTTGGACTCTAACACTCTGAATCTGTGAGCTCAACTAAGCACTTTCTTTTCTACTTTCTTTTGGTCACGGTGTTTTGTTCCAGCAGTAGAAGAGTTACGAAAGGCTCAGGCATAGTTACGCATACTTTCAATGCCAGCACCAGGGAGACAGAGGCAGGTAGATCTCTGTGAATTTGGGGTCAGTCTAGTGGTCTACATGTGAGGTTTCAGGACAGCCCAATCTACATAGTGAGACCCCGTCTCAGAAAGTGAGACAAGTAAGCAGATAAGCAAACAGAAAAAAGTGAGTAAAAGAAAAAAAAAAAGAAAAGAAAAATAACTCATAGTTTAATTATTTTCTTGAAAATTAAGGACAAGCACGATTGTTCCGTTGTTTCCCACAGTCTAGATTTAACAGACTGGATCTGTGTGGGACGATTTTGTTTTAAACGATTGAACTAGACCAAGGTAAGCAAAGAGGAATATATATATATATATATATATATATATATATATATATATATATATACATTTTCTATAGCAGAGTGAACCTGGTGCTTCCCTTGTTTTTAATTAAAACCTTTTGATGATTCCACATCTGGCTAAGAAACAAGCCTGAGGGCTTCCTCAGTGCCTTTCTCTCTCTGGCCACACCCTTCCCCTCTGACCCTCTCGGCTGCCTTGGCCTCTAACAGAAGACCAAGCCTTTTCTTCCTCCACCAGGCCTCTGTGTTTACTGTGCTCTAGTTCCGGAAGCACTTCCTCTCTGAACTCAATGACCTGACCAGGAATTCCACAATCTGCTTTGTCTGGATTTGGTATCAGGAAACCCTGTGTTTTAAAGTTACGATTGTCTTTACTTCCGGTTTCTCCCCCCTCCCACCGCACTTGCCTCTCTATTCGTTTTCCAAGTTCTTAGGTCGTTCAGTCTGGGTTATCTCTCTCGAACGACTTTCACAGAGGAAATGATGTATATATGCACATGTTGAATAAAAGGAAAAGGAAGAGTCTTGGAAGGGGACTGGAGAGACAGCTCAGCTCTAACTGCTTGTCTAGAGGTCCTGAGGTTCCAGCAACCACCGAAACAGTTCCTAGTAGTGATCCATTTAGCTAAAGCATCTTCACTGTGTATGTGCATGACCCGCGCAGCAGCCCCTGGGCTGTCTGCATCCCAAGATAGTTATGACTGATAGTTATGATGTGTGATGTCATGTTACAATGTCAAAGATCAGCCAGTCCAGAGAGAGGCTATTGGGATTTTGGCCAGTGGGCATCAAGGACAGGAATAGAAGAAAGGGCAGTAAGGACATGGTTTTAGTTCATCCTACTCTTCCTTCCAGGTACCTGGGACCACGTGACTTCCCTTTACCTCAGCTGCAGCTTTCATATAGCTGGTTATTCTTGTCAAGAGCCAATAATTTAGCACTCTGTTGTTCTGATCTGGGATAGGTATGTTTTACATCTCCTGGTGCTTCCTGTGCTGAAGGATGGGCCTCATTGTGGAGGATGGAAATGGGGGAATCTTTAAGAGGGGTGCCTGGTAGAAAGTAAAGATGTCCTGGGGTCATTGTCCTTAGAAGAGACTAATGGTGTTCTTTTACATTGAATTACTTCCTCATAAGAGTTGGTTGTTGCCTGGCAGTGGTGGCACACGCCTTTAATCCCAGCACTTGGGAGGCAGAGGCAGGCGGATTTCTGAGTTCGAGAGTTCGAGGCTAGCCTGGCCTACAGAGTGAGATCCAGGACAGCCAGGGGTACACAGAGAAACCCTGTCTTGAAAAACCAAACCAAACCAAACCAAAAAAAAAAAAAAAAAGAGAGAGACAGGTCTTTTTAAAGCTGCCTGGCATCCTCTTTCCACCCCTTCCAGGATGAGGCCCTCATCAGATACTAACCCCACAGCCCACTCTAACTGGTTTTTCACCTCTGAAACTGTGGGAACATTTCAATGTGTGTGTGTGTTTTCCCAGACAGGGTTTCTCTGTATAACAGTCCTGGCTGTCTTGGAACTCACTGTGGACCAGGCTGGCTTCAAATTCATAGAGATCTACCTGCCTCTGCCTCCTGAGTGCTGGGATTAAGGTCATGTGGCACCATACCCGCCTTCAATATGCATTTTTATTTGTGTGTATGTATCTGCGTGAGTGTATACCACCTAAGTGTGGATGCCCACAGAGGCCAGAAGATAACATTGGATTCTCTGGAATTACAGGTAGTTGTGAGTCACCTGCTGTGGGTGCCGGGACAGATCTCAGATCCTCTGTAAGAGCAGCAAATGTCCTACCTACAGATCCATCTATCTAGATCCAAGAACGAGGAGTTATAAACCTCATTTCCCTTTGTATCACCCAACCTCAGGTATCTCGCTGCCCTTTGATGCCATGCAAAGGTCAAAGGTCAGTCTTCACTGTGTTGGCTCAAAACTCAGCACTGTCTCCTGGCAATCTCTTTGAGCCCTTATCACACACTTGGAAGAGATATCTTAAGCAAATTCTCCTCAAATGGTCTAGCATGAAGTCCACTGATGCCATTACTCTCTTGCTCTGACAGTCACTCATGTAAACCTGAGTTCCTTCTTAAGACACTGTTTTTTGGGGACCTGGCAGTTGAATGTGTGAACGGTTACCACCTTGCTCCACTGTCTGGAGTTCTGTCCCTAGTACTAAAAAGAATCCAGAAAACACTTGCTACCACAATCTTCTGCTGCTTCCAAATGTGACGTAAGTGTTCCTCTGAACCAATTGAGTTCTTCACAGGGATATCTAGAGAAAGGAAGAAGGGAAATAATGCAAAGGCTAATGAAGAGGAACCAACTTTATTGTTTCAGAGGAAAATTGATTTAGACATATATCACACTTAATAGCAGAAAGCAAAATTTCTATATTCCAAATCTGAGAATCATGGTCAATGATTTTTAATCACTACTTGTCTCCGTCCCTCAGTAGAATAATGCATTAGAATGGAGACAGGGGAAATGGGTGACTTTAACTCCTCTCAAGAAATCTAAAATCCTTACAGGAAATGTTACTATATCTCTTGATTTCTAGTGGAGAAATAGGGCTCTAGGGAAGAGGATCCTAAGGTAATCTGGCTTCCATGTGAGAAGGGAACCAGGCCACCCTTACACTAGATTTGCGGAAGGATTTGCGGAGTCCCTTAGGATTTTCTTCAGGATGTTCTTGGTGTCCTGGGCAACTAAGAGAAGCATGCGTTTATGTCTCATGCGTCTGAAACAGCCGCATACACACGGGAGACATTTAAACAAACGGAAGAGTGCATTCACAACGGCACAGGTCATCATCCACAGTCTCCAGTCCTCTTTTCGGAGAGTGTGCAAGTTTTGGGACTTCATGTTGGCCTTGTACTCCATGACTACTGTCCCCATATTCTGGGCTACCTGCAGAAGTGATTCATCAGATATACCAAATATCGATCGGTATATTTTCAGACACTCCCCCATGTCGTCATCATCTCTGACACCGAGAGAATTCCTCAAGCACTCTCTGTCTATTCTCTGCCTCCAGACAGCTACTTTATCACCAATGATCTTCTCATAAATGCCATAAAGGGTCTTTAAGGGTCCACAGCACCTGATGTTGGAAAGGTCTTTATAAAGTGTGTCCCTAAGTTTCGGGAAGTCATATAGTAAAGGGTCTAGATTGGATACCATGAATATGGGGGGGTCCTTCACCCTCTCCTTCTGGAGATTCTCATGGATATTCTCCTGGATATTCTGTAGAAGCCGGACCTCTGATAGGACACTCGTGCTGAGGTCTCTGTCCAGCTTGGTCCAGACAACATAGAACCTCTTTCCCATGCTCTGGATGACTTTGGCCAGTTTTACATGATTCGAGCTGAACTGCTCAGAGGCGATGATGATGAATAAGCCACATGTGCTGAACTTCATCTCTTCCGCATAGTTCTCTACGGTTTGGGCTGTGGCCCCCAATCCAGGAAGGTCCCACAGTACCACGTTGGGAAAGTAGGATGACGAGTACTCAGCCCGTGTCTGGGTGGTCCTCACCACCCCAGTGGGAGCCGAGGCATCTTCCTCATGGCCGATGATTCGAAGCGCATTGATGAAAGATGACATGCCGTTGCCTGAGTCCCCAGTCACAAAGATGTTCACTGGAATCTGGGACAATGTTGCCACAGTCTCCTTGACTCCATAGACCAGTTCCAGGAGTTTTCCTTCTCTTAAAGCTCTTTCAGTGCTCCTGCTGACCTCAGGTAAACTGCTGCAGCCTGTTTGGTATGACGTGACAAAGGGGAAGGACGCACTCAGTGGAGCATAATGGGTCTCTGCCATCTTGGGGAGCAGTGGAGCAGCCTGTATAGGAGCAGAAGATTTGGGGTGTTAGACGCAGGATGGTATACTATTTGACAGGCTTTACAGCACAGCCTCAGGAGTTCAGACATACAACCAGAGAAGTCGCAAAGATGTTTTGTTTACAAACAGAGCAATCCAGGTGACAGTCGCATGTCACGGAGGGACATTCCTGGGGATGGTTGGGCAGCTGTTGTGTGAAGGGCTCTACTCCAGAAGCAGGACAGCAAATGTTACACAGATCACACAGGCCCCCGTGTCAATCTAAATGACCAGACAGGATCAACAACTGAAAGCACTAGCAGCCAGCTCTCCTTACTAAGTCACATGTTGGTGAGGGAGGGCCTGCAAGCCTTAAGTATAATTTAATTATTCTTTTCTAAAAAGCACACACTCTGTCCTTTCATCTTTCAAATGATATGTTTATCTGGGAACATCCTTTTTTTTTTTTTTCCCCCTAGTAAATGCTCATCTGCCACAAACTTCAAGAAATAAATCAAGAAAATTTCTAAATGGCCTACCACTGATTCTTTGTTCAGTACTTATATTTGTACATTTCTGTACATTACTGTTGGTAGTGTTATTGTTATTAGGGGTGCATAAGTTGATGTATGAAAGAGGATTTTTCTTGTTGGCTGATTGTTGGCAATGAAATTATAGCATTTGTGGGAGTAGGGCAGGACTGAGAAGAGAATTGGGTTGGGGAAATCACCAAGTGGGTGGGTCTTTCTTTCTTTCTTTCTTTCTTTCTTTCTTTCTTTCTTTCTCTTTTTTTTTGTTTTTTGTTTTGTCTTTTTTTTGTTTTTTTTTTGTTTTGTTTTTTTGTTTTTTTTTGTTTTTTTTCGAGACAGGGTTTCTCTGTATAGCCCTGGCTGTCCTGGGACTTACTCTGTAGACCAGGCTAGCCTCGAACTCTCGAACTCAGAGATCCACCTGCCTCTGCCTCCCAAGTGCTGGGATTAAAGGCGTGTGCCACCACCGCCCAGCCTCTTCCTTCCTTCCTTCTTTCCTTCCTTCCTTCCTTCCTTCCTTCCTTCCTTATTTTTCAAGACAGGGTTTCTCTGTTTGGATGGCCCTGGCTGTCCTGGAACTCACTCTGTAGACCAGGCTGGCCTCAAACTCAGAGATCCACCTGCCTCTGCCTTCTGAGATTAAAGGGATGCATGCACCAATTCTGTCTGGCCAACCAAGTGGATTCTACATAAAGTTACAACACACAAACTGCTCTTTACTGATGGACTTGAAAAGTCCCATTATCACGAGTGATTATTATGCTTCTCTCTCTTCAAATTCACCTTTCTTCTTGAGCTTGAATACAAATAAAAACATTCTATAACTTGGGGCTAGTGAGATGGCTCAGTAGCTAAGGACATTGTGCTGCTGGATCTGATGACCTGAATTCAACCCTAGGAACCCACATGGGGGAGAGAGAACAGATTCTTGAAAGCTATGTGTGCTTGAGCATATGTACACACACACACACACACACACACACACCCCAATAAATATTAAAACCATTCTAAATCCTTTTTCTTTTTCAAATAGAGCCTTTCTGTCCCATTGGGAGTGCCCAGTGGAACATCTGGAGACTTGTTTTGTCCTCACACTGAGGGAGGAGGTGTCCCTAGAATACCCATTTGTATATCTGTAGAAATGCTCACGGCCAAGCCTTGGGTACCCCTTTCTTTTTCTTTTAAGTGAGTACACTGTAGCTCTCTTCAGACACACCAGAAGAGGGCATCAGATCTCATTACAGAAGGTTGTGAGCCACCATGTGGTTGCTGGGAATTGAACTCAGGATCTCTGGAAGAGCAGTCAGTGCTCTTACCCACTGAGCTATTTCTCCAGCTCCTTGGGTACCCCTTTCACTTATACCTTTTCTGCAATAGCACCTTGCTCTTCAGTCTCGGGACTTGTACTTATCCTCTACAGAAGACAGTGGTCAAGAGGCCATTCCATGTTTGAGGAGCTCAGCTCTTCGTCACATGGACCTACTCTTGGAATTCGTTTTCTTCCTCAAGCACCAGAAAGTCATGCTACCCACCTCAAAGGACTTGTGTGATGGTTTCATGACAAGATCCGTGTCACACTGTCTGTGGACCTTTCAGCTCCCTGGTGAGGCTCTCTGGTTTTATTAGGGTCTCCGAGGAAGCCGTTCCTCGGGTTCTTCCTCCACTCTTAGTACACAGCGAGAAGGTCCTGTGTCTGTGAATCTGAGTTGGTTCCTTCGAATGCCTTATCTCACTTAATACTCCTCAAACCCTATTAGATAAGTAGTATTCATTATTGACTGTTGATTGTGAGCAAAGAAATAGAGACATATGAACAAACAGTCTTTTTTTTTTTGATACAGAATCTTCCTTTGTACCCAAGCTGACCTGAAACTTATGATCTTCCTATCTCAGTCTCCTTAGTGCTGAGATTACAGGGCTACAACACTATGTCTAAAAACCAGTCTTGAATTATACACAGAGTATGTAAGAAAGTCAAGGTTTCGTCCCTGCAATGCAACTCCATATTTTTGTCTGTACGACGAAGACAATCCTAATTAACAGAGGACTTGACGCAAGCTGAGGGGTTTTGTTTGGGAACCTTGATCTACTCACTGTCACCAATTGTCGCTTTTTTTTTTTTTTTTCCGAGACAGGGTTTCTCTGTATAGCCCTGGCTGTCCTGGAACTCACTCCGTAGAGCAGGCTGGCCTCGAACTCAGAAATCCACTTGGCCTTTGCCTCCCAAGTGCTGAGATTAAAGGCATGTGCCACCACCGCCCGGCCCAATTGTCGCTTTTTATATGGACACACATTTCACAATTTTGGAGATCAGTTTTTCTGTCCTCTTTTATATGCACCATGTAACTGAATTGCAATGATAAAGGAGATACCCTCAGCTTCTCCAACTATACAGAACTTGGTTTAGAGTTAACTCATCAATAGACCAAAATGCTTTATCAAATGACTGCAACGATTTCCAGAATTCAGTGAGAGGGAGGATATGGGAAAGGTTGCCCTCACATATCACACCTTTATAGAGGCTGCAAGCCTGCCAAGCCTGTGACTATAGAAACCATTCAGGACCAGGCAGTGGTGGTGCACGCCTTTAATCCCAGCACTTGGGAGGCAGAGGCCAGGTGGATTTCGGAGTTCGAGGCCAGCCTGGTCTACAGAGTGAGTTCCAGGACAGCCAGGGCTATACAGAGAAACCCTGTCTTGAAAAAAAACAAAAAAAAATAAAACCAAAAAAAAAAAAAAAAAAAGCAACCATTCAGGGCCTTCCTCCAGCAGTTCTTATGTGAGACTGGAGATGCTATGGAACAGCCAGAGTTGTACTTCCTGCTTCCTGCTTCAGAGTGCCGAGGGGTCCTGAGCTGGGTGGAAAGGCCTCAGAGTGGGCTGGTATAGTCTGAGGCAAAGCTGGCTGGAAGCCAGGGGAATGAAGTTAGACAAACTTCAGGAGGAGAGAACATTCTGCAATGGTGTGCAGAGACGGGGGACAGAGGAACATTTAGTAGTGTGACATTTAGTAGTGTCTTGTCCTCAAGGCAATTCTCCCCCCTCTTCCTTGCCCGTCATTGGCTAGGGTCTAGTTCTGTATCTGCTTTACTTGACTGTGAGTTTCATTCACTAGAGCAGAAGATGAGAGCAAACCATGTTTTTCTCAGAGCTATTTATGTAACTGTGACTGGAGATGGAGACTTCCCATCTGCCTGCGCACCTGAGCAGCCAGTGATGGACCTTGTCGGGGATGGTGCAGGTCACAGCTGCACACAGGAGCCAGTAACTCTCAGGAGGGTTGCTGAAGTCCATATATTACAAGCAGACTGGGAAGGGGCATGGATAACTGTGTGAAGCTTTAGCATCTTCCGGAAGACACACAGGAATGCTGGTGTGGACAGCCTTGGGATACTGTGGCTCAGAACACCGATCCAGTATTTACAAAGAGCACCTAGAATTATTACTAGCATTCAAGCGGCCTTCCATTTCCTTTTTTTGAGCCAGATTATATTCCTATTTTACCTCTCTGCACTGGGTTGAAGATCCCTAAAAAAATATAGATCCTTGTGGCTGTTGATCTGGGAAGAGAGACCTGTGAGGCGTATCTTTTGAGTCTCCCAACAGACACACAGAGCGTAGAGCATGCTCGTACACACTTGCCCATAGCTGCATGAAAGGTGGCAGGGACCTCACAATTCCCCTGCTGCTACGTTATCCTATCTAAGTTATTTCAATTAATTAACTTGAAAACATGCTTTTTATAATGCATTAAATAAATTTCATGGCTTACCTGATGTAAAATTTACAAGGGAATTTGTGTGTGTGTGTGTAGGGCTGTATGTGTAGTTTGTGTATCACACAACTATTATGAATCTCCCTCAGAAAGACTCATGGAAACACGGAAACCAGACTGGACTAGTAATGAACCAAAAATCAAGGATTTTTGTGAACCGGCATCGTTGTGTGTGCTAAAACCCTCATTTTTTTTCCTTGTTTGATCACTATTAGGAAAGCGGGAGAGAAAAATCACAATGTTTATTTATCTTTGGAAAGTGTGATAAATTTCCTCATGGTGGATGGAGACAGTGCTGAACCCACATGCTCTGGGAAGATGGTATTTGAAAAGCTCCCACCTCACTGACTATAAATGTGCAGATTAGTGAACGAGGTGGATCCTTAAACAGCGACACCTTCTCCAACGCAAATAAAATATTTTAATGGAGTCAGACAAACAGATCATTAAGTTACCTTATACTCAAAAGTCACCCTGAGATTTCTATCCCATGGGTGGTCCAGATAAGAAACAACCCCCCCCCCCCAATTTTTTTTTTTTCAAATGTCCTAGATATTGCCTGTGGTCCACTCTAATCCTAGGCATTTATTGTGTGGAGATATGAAGAGGCACTATCTTAGATTCCAAGAGAATATGGGTTGGCACACTCTGTCCTCCTTCTTCAAATTTAGCCACCATTAGAAGACTCACAAGGCCAGGAATAGGCAGGTGAGGTAGGCATTTGCCTCCAGGCTGATGGCTTACATAGATCTGAACAGTAAAGAGACAGCAGGACTGTGTGGTAATGAAGACAGAGGCTCTGCTGTGGTCACTGCCTGAGTAAAAGAAGCCAGACCCCAAGGTCTCATGACCTGCTTTCACGGTTTTACCGTTCTTATTATAAGGAAGGAAGATTGGGGGTGGCCAAGCTACATTTAAGAGACTTTTACTTACCTGATCAAGAGGAGTTATTATGTGTGATTCAATGTTAGTGGCCTTCCTGGACCGTCACCCCTTTCTTCCTAGAAAAAAACAAAAACAAACAAAACAAAACAAAACAATAAACGTTGCTGTCCTCCGGCAGAAGTTCTCTATGGAGAGATCCAGAACTGGAATCCAGACCCAGATGTTTAGAGACGAGTTGCAGAGGTCTGGAGTCCTTCTGGGAGGAGGAGAACCAAGCCGAGGTCTGATCGCTTAGATTTCCTTTCTACCTCTGGTCTTGAAGCAGATCTTGCTTTTTAGATCAGGGCCCAGGGGGGAGGGGACTCCAATTGAGAGTCGGTTTCGGTTTCTATTCCTTGAAACCGGCTAGTTTTCAGGATTAGGCTGGGCGGGCTGCATATATTCTTCAGATAGGAGCATAGTCCTGCTGTGCTGACCAGAGTTCAACAGGAGTCAGGATTGGGGGTGGTGGTGGAAATGGGGGGTGGGGCCATTAGAGTGGGAGTTATGTCTGTTTAGGGAATTTAAAAGCGTCAGATCATCCAGTGTCTTTACGTGGACACCGCCTCTGAAGGTTCTGGCCCCGGGCAATATTAACCTCAAAGAGCCTGCAAACTCAGGCCCCTCAGGTGCCTGGAGGCTTGCCCTGAGACCTTATTCTGTATGGTTGTTTTCCCTGTCCTGGCTCACTTGTTTACCCTCACGTCTTTATAAAGGAGAATGTCAGAGCACCAGGGAGTGGAGAATCAGGCTCTTGTCCTTGCTAGTGTTTGAGTGGGAAGAGGGTCTGAGCTGAGAGGGAGCATAATTCATTTTCCTTAGATCCAGGAGGTAGCCAAGTTGCTTTCAGAGCATTGGGTGGCTGCAATTCTCTTTGCTTCTCTTCTATACATACTGGTGAGTTCTTACTGCACAGCGAAGAGGAGCCGAGCTGAGCCTGTTCCGCACTCACTGCGGGAGGGAGACAGATTGGGCCAGGAAGAATGAGGCGGCTCACGGGGCATTTTTCCAGCGGCCACAACACAGCTTCTGCCTATTACAGGCTCAGTATTGCCCAGAGGTTTGGGCAGTGTGATCGTCTGGTCACAAGGAGCCCTCTGTCACCCCGCCAAGTGACCAGTGATGTGATCCTCTACTGGTGCTGGTGGCTTTCTCTTTCTCCTTACTGGATATGACTGAGTTGCTGGAAATAGGAACAAGTGTGAGCTGCCTTCACATTCCTGTTGTTTAATAAACTGGAGGGTTTGAGTGAAAGCCAGATCCGTCCTTCTTGTTTGATTTTTCTAAGCCCTCAGCTTCTCCTCAAAGCCCGAGGAGAAATCAGGCTGCTGCAAATCTCTGACTAATTTCGATCTCTGTCTTTAGAGACTCGACAATCTATATGTCCTGCTTTCTTTATGTGATTTGAACATACAGGAACAAACAGGAACAGGTCTGAAGACAGTACGGGAAGGTCAGGAAGAGAGTTTCTGGAACCTTCTGTCTCAGTGAGCCAGCATTTCAACTCAGGAAATTTCATTACCTCAGGGGCAGTGTCTCCCTTGATCTCAGAGTCAGTCCTCTCAGGCTCTTGCTCCTGAAGAGGAGCTGAGACTGGGGACAGCAAGGTTTGTTATAATTGGGTGTCAGGTAAAGGTTCCTCAAGGCAGAACAATGTAATGGCTGGATGTTGTGTGTACAGAGAATAATCAGAACACAGGCAGTCTGTCTTTAAAAATATCACTTTAAAAAAATCTTTGGGTGGGAGTCTCAGCTTAGGCTTCCCTGATGGAGGCAAGGCTGAGGGCTAAGTTCAGGCAGTTGCCAGGTTAGAAGCTGTGAGTATGAACTGGGTCACAGGGACACATGCCTAATCTTATCAGTTGAGAGGTGGGAGGGAGAAGAGCTCGATATGAAGAATACTTTGTGGTATAATAGTGAGTTCCAGGCCAGCCTGGGCTTCGTAGTGGGACTTTTGGAAGAACAAAAACAAAACAAAACAACCCAGTATAAACAAAAAAAGAAGGTATATATTTTAACTATTTTGCTATGCAAGAAATGTGGGAGTTCAACCATCTCAAACTCAGTCTTCTTCACTTCACCTCACTTCACTTCGCTTCACTTCACTTCACTGTGTGTGTGTGTGTGTGCCTGTGTAGGTCTGTATGTGTGTATGTGTGTGTCCTTTTGGGGAAAGATTGCTAGAAGAATTATTAGCACCATAGAAAGATAGTATGGTAGAGGCTCTGAGGAAAGTTCAGGCCCTCAAGGCAGAGTAGAGGATCCCTTTTAATAGGTTCAGGGGAAGGGGGAAGTCCCATGTCACATGACTGTTGAACGGTTCATAGCACACACCTGTATGAGGCTTTCTGATTCCTGAATGGCAGGAGAGTAAGGGATGTCTTACACTTTGGGGAAGGAATGTGTGACCTTGGGGATTTATAGGAAATGGTAGGAGGATGTCATTTAGTTAGTATATATCCCTCGTATGGGATATGCCACTGATAGTCCCTGATAGCTTGGACTCTGATAGGCTAGGCTCCCCTGTATACAACCATGAGGTGGACAGAAACATGGGTGTGAGCTGAGAAGGTCTGGTTTGGATTCTAACTTTTTTGTGTGTAAGGGTTTTGAGATAGCCTTTCTCTGTACAGCCTTGGCTGTCATGGAACTTAATCTGTAAGTTCGGTTGGCCTCGACCTCAGAGATCTACCTGCCTCTGACTCCCAAGTGTTGGGATTAACGGTATACACCACTACTGCCTGGCATGATTCTGACATTTTTTAAAAAAGATTAATTTATTTTATGTATATGAATGTTTTGCTTTTGTGTGTATGCTCATTGTGTGTGTGCATGGTGCCTGTAGAGGCCAAAAGAGGCCAGATCCCCTAATTGTCCTAACTAGAGTTAAGGACAGTTGTAAACTACCACATGGGTGCTGGAACCTGAACATGGGGTCCTTTGCAAGAATAGGAAGTGCTTGTTTAAAAAAATGTTTTTGACATAGTTTGATTGTTTCACAGGGAGTGGCACTATCAGGAGGTGTGGCCTTGTTGGAGGAAGTGTGTCACTGTGGGAGTGGGCTTTGAGAGATCTTACTCCTAGTTGCCTGGAAGCCAGTCTTCTGTTTGCCTTCAGAACAAGATGTAAAACTCTCAGCTCCTCCGGAATCATGTCTGCCTGGGTGCTGTCATGCTTCCTGCCTTGATGATAATAGATTGAACCTCTGAACATGTAAGCCAGCCGTAATTAAATACCTAAGACACATAGAATCTCATTGTGGCCCTCCTTACCCTGGAACTCTCAGTGTAGACAAGGCTGGCCTTGAACTTACAGAGTTCACCTGCCTCTGCCTCCTGAGTGCTGGAACTAAAGGCATGAACTATCAAGACCAGCACAGCCTCTTAACATCTGAGTTAATCAAGATCCTGTCTTAATAGGCTCTTACTCTGGTTAATCATTCATTCATCATAGAAAAAAAGGGAAGAGTCAGCGACTACAAAAATACAGTACAGGCATTTCTCTGTGTACTTTCTCTGATACTGAAGTGTGAGGACTTTCCTTTCCACCCTTTTGTTCAACAATGATATCCTAGTTCAGTTCATTAATCACCACACATGTTACACTTTGCAGAAAGATCCATGGTGATTCACTCTGGAGAACCAGTGTGACCTGTCAACAGGATCTCACATCTACAGCAAGCATATGGAGGCATACACATGTACAGACTGACATGCATACTTCTACACCCACCCACACCCACACACACACTCTCGAGGTCACAGAGCCTACAGAGTCTTGTATTCACTACTGTGCTAGGATAATGAAATCATCTGCCATTTTCTTTGTGACTGAAAAAAAAAAGAGCCTTAGTATTTCTGTAGGTGTCTTAGCTTCAAGCTCAGCACTTGACTTCTCCTGGACCTTGTTCCTGTATGTGACTCCGACTCACTCTCAGAAAGCCTGTCTGCTGCAGCATGGAGAGGATTCTGACAGAAAGGGCTTTCCTGGTCTTCTGCTCCCACAGAGATAGGGGTACATGCTGTCCTTCCTTTCCTCTCATCTTCTCACAAAGCACCCACAGAGGTGACTTATATCCCTGAGCTGTCATGTGTAGGGCTCCAGCTATTATGGAGACACACCTCAGTTCTTCAGTATCTAGAATTGCACTTTGACCTGTACAAGGAAACCAAGTAGCTTACAGTTGGGGCTCTGTAAGGATTTTATCTCTTCTGCAGCTGCCCTCTCTGGGCTGTGGCCTGCGACTGGACACAGAAAGTCTGTGCTGCAAAATATGTGAGGTGTCTCAGCACCCTGACTTCACTCGGAGGAGGAGGTTTCTCTTAGTCTTCCATGGTATAATTCAATTTTGATGGAGCAGTCTTCTTTTTAAAACCACACTTGTGTGTGTGTATGTGTGTGTGTGTGTGTATGTGTGAGAATATCTCAGCTTTTGCCATTTCATGTCTTGCTACCTTCACAGAACATTTTGCATATGCAAACTAACTGCTTTTCCATTCTCTGAAGGCATAGAAAGTGGGATATTTTCACATGTAATATTTTAGTTTTCTAATATTGTACTCACTCTTCCCTGGCTTGCATATTTCAAATTAAAAACTCCTCTCTAGTGGAGAACCAGTCTTCTCTAGGGATGAGACTCCTGATGGATTGTAGGTTATGTAGTCCCAAGTGAAAGCGATCAACCCTGAACACTTATCCCTACAAGCAACACTAAGTGAATTTTGGAGTATGTGTGTATAACAACACAAATTAATGAAGAGGAATTTGAGTGAAAGTGGAGGGGTGTGGGAGAGATTGGAGGGGGAAGGGAGGTAAGGAAATGGTGTAAACAGAGTGCTCATATATGGAAGTCTCAAAAAACTTTTATAAAAGAACACATGGGAAAAAAAACCTCCTTTCCCTAAGCAGCCTGTAGGTGTCACTGTTCCGTTTTCTATTTCCTCTATAGTGCAGCATAAAGGTGGTGGTAAAGGCTCAGTCTCGTGACTTTTCTGGAGAGTCATCTCTTCACCCCAGATAGAGCAAAGACATTTTCTCCAAGTCTGTCTTAGTCAGCTGGTAAACAGTTTGGGGTTCTTTGCTTGGGTGATTGACGGCAGTGAGCTTACTGATAAGCCCACCCCATTCTCATGAACACCGCATCTTTGGAAGCTCCTGCTCTGGTTGTAGGCAGCCCAACAGTAGGATGTATCCTCTCCCCCAATAAGTGTTTACTGCTTATATAACCCTGGGGAAGGGACTTGTGAGTCTTGATCCTTTGATCCTTCTTGAATACCTAAGGTTTCCTTAGGTTCTTGGGTTTTATGAGCCTCCCTCCTCTCTTTAGGAGGGAGGCCTGGGTTTCAGAAGGCATACAGTTTTAAGAGGTTCTTTGCCTCTTTCTCTCTGTCTCAGTCTCTGTGTCTCTTGTCTGACATGAGCTGAACA